TCGTAAAATGAGGATCAGTTTCTGACTTGCAAATGTTCTTCACACTATTTGTTATAAATATCTGCACAATAATCAATAAAGAAAAATCTGCAATGAAATTGAATAACTATTGCCCCAGGATATAAAGTCTTTTGTGTTTTTTGGGACTGAATTTATTTTAATTTCGCTTATTCTTTTATCGGTAATTACGTTCACAAATTATCAGTAATTACTTTCATTCCAGCCATTAAGCTGTTATATTCACCTGTAGGTGAATATAACAGCTTAATATGTCAAATTTGACCAATCAACTTGTAGGATTTGTTATGTTCACTTGTGCAAAAATACTACTAATAATTAATAATAACATAGATTATCAATAATATAGATTAACTCTTTCCCGACAGGTCCCTATTAAGTAAATCACTCATGATTTATGACTTTGCAGGGTCATATCGTCAGTTGGGTGCATGCTATGTAGATGAAAATACCACCATTCGATTCAGTGAAACAATATCTCCTATACCTGTCGATAGTTTTAGTCAAATATAATTTTAGTGAAATTATATAACAATTTATGACCTTTCGTAAAATGAGGATCAGTTTCTGACTTGCAAATGTTCTTCACACTATTTGTTATAAATATCTGCACAATAATCAATAAAGAAAAATCTGCAATGAAATTGAATAACTATTGCCCCAGGATATAAAGTCTTTTGTGTTTTTTGGGACTGAATTTATTTTAATTTCGCTTATTCTTTTATCGGTAATTACGTTCACAAATTATCAGTAATTACTTTCATTCCAGCCATTAAGCTGTTATATTCACCTGTAGGTGAATATAACAGCTTAATATGTCAAATTTGACCAATCAACTTGTAGGATTTGTTATGTTCACTTGTGCAAAAATACTACTAATAATTAATAATAACATAGATTATCAATAATATAGATTAACTCTTTCCCGACAGGTCCCTATTAAGTAAATCACTCATGATTTATGACTTTGCAGGGTCATATCGTCAGTTGGGTGCATGCTATGTAGATGAAAATACCACCATTCGATTCAGTGAAACAATATCTCCTATACCTGTCGATAGTTTTAGTCAAATATAATTTTAGTGAAATTATATAACAATTTATGACCTTTCGACAGGTCAAGCGGTGTCATATTTCATTATATTAATCAATTGTCTCGAACAATGTAAACTATCAATACCTTTTGCCGAACATAACGCTTGAATACAAGGAATATTTCACTAACATTAACTTGCGGCGAATACTGAAGAGTTTAGAAAATATTCAACATTTTCTCCATATGAAAATACAGAATGTTTGGCCAAGCGGTGAGTAAATATATGATTGTTTCGGTTTGTGTATTTGTTTTGATGGCATTAGACCCCCCGATGAAAAGCTTATTTTGTTAAGATTCCAATGGTGTTCTTTGTTTTTAAGGGGGGTGAATACGCACTGAAATATTTACGTTATAAAACAGTTGAATCAAAATATTGCTTGCCGTGAAAAATGTCACATGTCGAGAAAGAGTTAACTGGTAACACATATGGTCTTGTTCACCAAGGCTTTAAACTATAAGAAAATGCCTGTTACCAGCTTCTAAAATAAAGTTGCCAACCTCTCTTCTAAAATAAAATCAAACTCTCTATAGAGGCACTTTTTGCCTTGGCCGGTCGACTACCACGTACAACTGAATAGGACCATATTGTTTACATCAGTCGTTTTTCTGTCAGTTCTCCCTTCTAGGATAATTTTAGCCATTTTAACAGAAAGCAAAGTAATGATTGTTTTAGACTTTTTTTCCATAATGATGTCAAACACAGATACATATATGATCAGGGGCGGACTGGTAACATTCCGGGCCTCGGTCAGGAATAAAATCCAGGCCCATGTACAAGTGCACAAATATATAGTTTTTAAAAATATTATTTTCTTTGCTTAAAATAATATGTGAATTGAATTATAAGTCGCTGAGATCGTCATCATTTCCTGGTAACAAGCCTTGTTTCAGTTGATGATAATTTGAAGCAATTAAAGGATAAGTCAAGTCTTTTAAGGAGACTGTGTCTACTTAAGTCAAAGCTTCAGCTATCGTGGTTAGATTGATCATCTCTGGGTGTGTTTTTACTTCCTTAAACCTGTTAGGATCAAAGCACGCAATCTCGTTATATATAGTTCTTTGTGATCAGAGAATCGGTTTCTGATGCTTAGGACCACTGCCCCAGGATAACATTAGGACAATTTATCTCAAAAAATTTTTCAGCACTTTGGCTCCAGGTTCTCCTCGCGTTGCTGTTGCGCGAATTTCTGGCAGGTCGGTGTCAAACAAATGCTTTGTTCTGATAATTTATCATTAACTCCATTGATAAACGTTGTCGCATGCTGGTAGATAGTAAGGAAATCTCTATAGCGATCTTGCTTAGTTTGTCTGTTGCTTCGTTCATCATTCTCTGTGCTTGAAAAACATCTAATCCAGGTGTCTGCAGATAGTCCGACACTGCATGGGTGGTGATATCAAAGATTCGAATATATGTGAATGCCACTAACAGAGTTTCAAACTTTGAAAGATTTTGCCCGAGGCACTTGGCTTTGTATCGAATACTACCTTTGAAATTTGGTGTTTCATTGACACGTTGTAGAATCATCAACAGATTGAGAATAGTTGATTCAGTGTCGTCATTGAAACTGCCAAACAATTTTTTCAAGGCTCTCGCTCGGCTGGACCACCTGGTTTGGCAAAACCTTGCTAATTTTTTAAGCTATGCATGGCCGATGTTATCTTCCATCTGCTTTCCCACACATTCATGTTCTTGTAAGATTCTTTGAAGAGATTTTCCATTTGATTTAGTAGCGCGAACAGACTTACAGCTTGGACGGAAATGGTGGATGAATCACCAATGATCAAATTGACGACATGCTCAATCATCACACCAGGTATAGACATGGCTTGGACGGACTTGTTTAAGTAGACCTTGTTTGTCATTGTAGACACGTACCACTTTTATTCGCTGCTCCGTCCAATGCACATACCCAGTTAAACTCCTGCTTCTCTAAAGACTTCTCGAATAAATTGTGGAGACTTTGGGTTCTTGAGTAGGACACATTTACAAGATGCAATAGCTTTTCTCTAGCTTTGTCCTCTTCTACATACCTTGCAACAACAGCATACTGATCGTGGTTGGAAACATCTGTAGTAGAATCCATCTGTACAGAAAATAAGCCAGCGTCATTTACATCTTTGGGAATTCTCTCCTTTTACATCACTGCGATCAATTTGAAAATCTTTACAACAGTTGTTTTGCTGAGAAAAGTTACAAAATTTGCCCCACCGTTCTTTTTATGATCGCGTTTCTTTGCCAACTTGATTACTTTCTTCAAATGAGCTTACAGGGTTGGATAGAACTCAGCAATAAGTTTCACAGCCCCTAGAAAATTGTCATGGTTTACAATTGCTTTTGCAGCTGTACTGTCATCAAAAGCAGTTGCTATAGATTCTGAATGTTTACTTCGAAAGGGCAGAGTCTGAAATGCTATAAAATATATAACACTGATTTCTGCCAGGTGACTTTTTGGATAATGGTTTGTTGTCATTCGAAATCTAGTGAATTCTGGGCCCCCAAAGTTCTCCGGGCCTCGGTCCGCGCCCGAATGCCCGACCACCCCTGCATACGATATGTTACACCAGGGCTGTGTGTTTTGCTATGCCTTGGTTACACAGGACAATTTTTAGTGACAATTCGCAATGCAAATTATGTTAGATGATATTTGATTGGCTCGACAGCATGTGCATTGTGAATTGTTGTTAAATATTACTGTGATTTAGTTTAACAAAACTGTGGCTCGGTACAGTTTTTCAAAAATGGAAAATTTGTGATTTAGATCTGTATTTTTGGACAAGTACTTGTTGAACAACAAAAAGCATCTTACTTATATAAAACAACCTATATGGAGTTCGCAATTTTTCACAAAAGTTGTGCAACTACTGTTTCTATAGAAATAATGAAGTTTCAACATGGTTTAATTTAACATAATTTAACTTGGAAATGATGTCGGTAACCCCAAATTTTATTTCATAAAATAGTTTCTCATTTATACCATATTTTTTTGATAAATTTAGTACCTATATACATTGTTTCTAAGCTTTCCTTTTCATGTATTTGTAATTTTAAATCTATTTTCTGCAAAAAATATCTCTGGACAATAAAACAATTTACAAAACACACATTTCCAACAATAAATACCATAGGCATAGCAAAACAAAGACAATGTGTCACTTTAAGGCTTTTTAACCATACTACAACACTATTCACAAAAAGGTCTGCAACAAAGTTGTGTGTGGGGTGGGATGGGTGTGTGGGGTACAACCTTGTGTGGTTTACCAGACATTCTTCATTATGAGTGACTATAGCACTTTTACCTTTTAAATGATTGATCAGAAATCCCCTTTCTCTTCCCCAGAGCAAACAGTGTGTAGCGCCATTCTGGGCGCAAGCCCGGTACGAGGGCACTAGGGCACTAGCCCGGGGCGAGGGCATTTCAGCAATACTTGAAATTTATTACAAAACATGTTTCCGGAACGTCAAGCAGTTTTAAAGTTTTTTTCTCAGTAGTCAAAGTGTGATTTCAGTTTTTTTCATTTAAGTCGCTGGAGTGTGTGGGTGGTATTCCTCACTGATATTCACTGTTCCTTTATTCAATTTGTTCCAATCATTTATTGTGTGGTAACATGGCAGTCTTAAGATTATCATTGTTCCTTGTATTATACAATTGTGAATGTTCCTATTCGTTAATAACTTCGTAGAAAAATGAAAATTACTGCTGAAGGCCAACAACTCAAACAACTTTCAGGGGGTGGTTAATGCCTCTTGTATTATGTGCACTGGCTAGGAACATGGCAACAACATTGAACGGTTAAGTCAAAATCAGGGGCAAAACCAAGAAGTCAGCCTGATGCAACATAATGTGTGTGCTTCCTTTAATTCATCATTTGCCTGATTTTTAAGTAGAAACTGCCTGACTAAAAATTAGCAAGGTCAGCAGCAGCCCCCCCCCCCCCAGCTCCACCCTCTAATACTCAAAATTATGGTGTTCTTCTGTTGTTTTGTATGGGTTGGGCACTTTTTGTTATACAACAGATTGTTTTCGCCAAATATTTATTCAGAAATCTTCCATTTTCAAAAATTCCATTGGAAGGCAGGAAGCCACATTGCATAACTGAAACCTAATATTGCCAGGCTGTGCAATGAAAATGGCTATGTTCTTTAGTTTCTTGGTATTAAAAGTACATCTAGAAATCAGTTCCTTAACTGAAGTTAAATCCACTGCGGAGTTATTTCGATCAATTATATAAGCTGGCATTAGCTTCATGCCACTACAAGGTCAAGAGGCAAGACTGATAAATATTCAAATATTTTACTAAAAGAAATTGACTTTGAGTAATATTTCCATCTTACAGAACTACTATCATGAATGTCAATGATTTTGACTCAAAGCAGCACTTTAAAGACTCTCTAAGAATAGCATATGATTTGGGGACATTTTTCCTTGGAATGAAAGTTTTGTCGTCCATGGCACGCGAATACTTCAAGCCTGTATGTACAGGATATTATAGTGACAATTACTGGATTATCTCCAACGATGTAAGATATATTTTTACAGTACGGATGTTTGCCGCAAATAACCATTTATTGTTACATAACAAGACGCCTGCTCAGGCATTCACACTGACCTGAAAATGATATATGCGCTATGGTGCAATAGACAAGGAATAAAAACCGCAAACGCAAAGTGTGGAAGGCTGAAAGCATGGCGTGATCCTGAGGAGATGTTTTTAGATATATACAGGAGTTGCATATCAAGGCATAATAGTCCGTATGGTCAATTTTAAAACATTTTCGGAACTTTTATTTTTTTGTCATTGTCTACATCCACTATTTTACTGTTCCACATACATGCAATGACAATGGTGAACTTACCTTCTGGGTAATTTACCTCATTTGGTTATGTGTAGCCCAATCCTGTTTAATTTGGTTTCACTGAAGTATTATACTCAAAACATGTAGCCTTGATGCATATTATAGGCGAGGCACGACAGGTAGGTTTCGTAATTAGTCCCAGATCACCATGTGAAGATACTACGACTGTAAATAAATATATCCAGTGACCACTGTCTGTAGCTTGGCATTCATAGTATGCTGTTGGTAACTTTCTACCAATGCAGAATGTATGTTAATTTTCTAGCCGAATATAATGTGGAAACGATTTTCTCCGAAATAAAGTGTTGGGAAGTCATTTCGCCTATTGATCCTTGGGCTCCAGCAAGGGATACGTGAAAGAGTTACATGTCTTTGAGCAGAGGCAATCAAATGATGTGTGGAACTTCCATTTATGTAAGAAGTGTTTGGCACAAATGTATATAACTTACACACTTTTATGCATATAGGATTTATGGCACAAGGAAGAGGCTATAGATGAATAATGTTAAATTTACTACAGGACTTTCTTCTCATATCCTGAAAAAATCACTAAACTTCGTTATCCACCCACAATATCGATTACTGCAATTTTAAACTAATATACCTTGTTAACAAACATCCAGCAAACCAACGAGAACGTAAACTTTACAATAAAAATTAATGATTTTGTGTACACTATAAGTTGGAACATGTCTCTTTATTTCTTGAACAATCATAACTGGTAAGAACAGTTACACAAATTGTACAATCACTATGTTTTTCTATTTGAAAGGGATGTATTAGAAGAGCTACACTATAGCTACACTATAGGAACTCTCTGCTAGGTTAACCTGATATTCCTGGATAAATTTCCTGGTTTACTTTTATCTCACTTCCTACCATAGTCTGGTTAAGTTAATTAACCAGGAATCTAAATATACTGTATTTGTCTAGGACATCCTTGTTAAAATAACCGGACCATGTTAGGTGGATAAATAACCAGGGGGCCCCGATTTCTTGTCAACCTGACACAGCCTGCTTGATAGGGTTATTTTTAGGTTAACTAGGAAATTAATTGTACATTTTGTTTTCCTATCAAAAAAAGAGATTCAGGAAAGTTTATCAAGGACCACAGGGGTTGTCATGATTGATGACCCAACAATGAGCAAAATGTTCACTGCATTTTTGCTGCAACTTCAGGGATAGAGGCTTGCTTGCTGGATCAAGCAAGGAAGGGATGAGTGCTCCAAAATCTTCAGTCTTGATGACTTCCAACTCGGAAGAACTTCCAAGGTACATCTCAGGCATGTTAATGCCTGGGTCTGCCCACGCTTGGATGATATCTTGTGCGCGTGTTGCACGCACGATCTGTCAGTAATGCGTCCATTAGAATATTCGCCCCTTGTATGAGTATTTTAGTGAATTCGGGCGTTTGCTTCAAATCAAAATATAGTATACATGAGCGACAGGATTATTTTGGAATATACAACGCAAAGAAGTCGGTATACTATTTAGTTTTGATGTAATAATTGGCTGTTTGTATAGCAATAAGTATTGTATCATTTGCGACAGCTGACCTTTGAACCGCTGATAAATAAAAGCTTCTTATAGTGCGCTATCTTGCAATTATTCAGTATTAATTGTTGACTGTTTCTTATTTTCAATGAAAAATTGCTTGTGAATTACAAATTAATAGCACATATAGTTCACTCGGTCTTTTCCACCATGGCATACTTCCCTTCAAGCATTAACTATGCTTCAAGATATCGGCTTGAATGCGCAATGAATGTTGTTATTGGAAATATAATATCCCTTACAATAAGCGGCAGACTGTTTTATTATGGCACGTGAAATTCATCACGCGAAAAACGTGTTTGACTTGCAGCAGGGTAATTTGATGAAGTTTTGCTATTTTTGCTAGCTAAAAATATTAACAAGGGAACAAAGTTTCCTGTGTTAATTTGGAAACCGCACATTTATTTGTAGATAACATTTAATGACGCGAATAACATTCGTTTGATGCCGATCATCGTAATATAGCCGCATAAAATAATGAAACGAAGCCTAAATGTAAACTTTCCGGATTTATTCAATAAACAGTGATATTATGTGTGAATGATTATCGCAATTCTGCGTCCTCTCAGTCACGAAATATACTGCTGCAGAGCCTCTGAATAAAATGTATCATTTTTTGTGTTGTTTTTCGACATATAATACATCACGTGATCGCCGCCATGACAACGAAAAGTAGGTCAAATTTTAGAATCTCCTTTGATAAATCATATAAATCTTGAATGGTAATAATCAAGGCCATATTTATTTTTTTATGATTTTTTGTCTATTTTCTCTAAATACACAAACTGAAACCCAGGCATTAATTTACTTGAGATTAATTACTTTACCAACAATTGTGTTACAGCTTCCACGAATATAAAGCCGTTTTGTGTTAGCATTACAGTTCATTTGATTTTTTAATCGTTAACATAGAGTACATAGCATACAGTATTTATATGTAACCATGCATTTTGTCAATTGTGTACGAATGTGGTGTCTTTCACATGCCATTTTTCATAATCAATTTTTTCAGGGTGGTTGGTTGATCTCAATTTTTAAATTTTGATTTTTTATTTCATGTAGACTTATTGGTACAGTAGTCCAGTTTAACTACTCTGGGCCTATGAGTAACCGCCCAGCATATAATAAGGACTTGTTGCACAACAACCTTCCATTTATAGAAGAAAACAAGGTAAGCTTGATCCTATTGCTCGGGATAACAAGCAGGGGTGCACATAAATTAGGGAGGTTTCTGTGTGAACACACCAGCATTCAAAATTTACAAAGGTATACCCTTTTTTGGGATCATGTTTTGAAAAGCAATTTTCCTTTTTTTGTCCGGGAAAAATCTTTAAACTGTTGCTTTCCAGGAAGACATTTTGACCTTCTCCCTCCCCCAGCCAAAATGTTTGGGAAAAAACCAAGGGGTGCAAAATAAAAAGCAAGAAAATCGATCCCAGATCAAAAAGCAAGAAAGACGGTCCCATATCGTCCAACCCCCCTCCCCAAACAATTTGTTGAATGTGAGCCCCTCATTATAAGGATACATAATTAAAGTGGCAATAAATTAGAGGTGGAATAAATTGTTAATCACTTGATAACTAGAAATACATGCATGCAGAAACTCCTCGCCTTGCTGGCAAAACCATTATATTTTCCGAATGTGAAGGATTTAAAGTCGTTGTCATGGTAATACGATAATTTTATTAAGAACATTTTTAAAATTCAAAAGTGTCCTAAAATGTCACTTTCACAAAATTATTAATTTCCTAAAAAATATATATATACTGGGTATGTTATCCCCGAGCCGACGGCACGAAGCGCCATGCGAGGGTACTATTTCCGACCAGCTATTTACACCCGGGGAAAGGAATGCACTAGCGAAGTCTAAAGTTCATCACATATCATGGGTGCATGGCTCACCGTTCATGGGTGGTCATCCTCACTGATCTCAAAATATGTGGCGGACTGTCGTGAATAGTGAACACTGATTGGTCAAATTTGCAATTTACATTATAATGACTGCATTGATGACAGCGAATTGGCGAAATAACAAACATTTCTTGCAAGTTGTATTTTTGCAATATTTTGTAAATTTCAAAACCTTTCTGAGAGCCAAAAACCAAACCTTTCTGCGAGCCTAAATGTTGATGTATTGTTTGTTTTATAATCAGCTTATTTCAAACTCAATGTTTACCGATAATTCGATATAGGCCGTTTAGTTTTAAAACATTTTGCGAAGCGTTTGTGGTTGAATTTTGCATTAGATTGAAGCTTATATAACATATAATAACATACCTAGCATATATATGTTTGGGAAATTGATAATTTTGTTATTAAAAGTGATATTTTGGGGGGATTTTTCAATTTTAAAAAACTATTCTTAAATTATCGTGTTACTATGACAACTAGCTACTTTCAATTCTTCATATTAAAAAAAACAATGTTTTGTACCAGGGGTGGAAAATTTTTTTTTCTTTCTGGGAACCTGGGTAGACGGCTAGAAATTTTCTGTAAAATTTGTAATGTTACAATTACAAAAATAACAAAACAAATGCATAATTATTGTATTATTTGTACTTTATTAATAATGGGCTTTAGGCTGGTTTTCGTACGCTTGTACATCACAATAGTTGTCTGTTATATACCACAGTTATGAGTTATGACCAACTAGTAAGGATCTTGATTTTGTCTGTGTTGGTGTTATGTACTAAGGTGAATATGATGTTTGTGATGTTACTCTGAGTGTATATCCACACCGGGCAAACTTGAAAAATATGCCTGGCCACGATGGGAATCGAACCTACAACATTTGGATTACTAGCCCAATGTTCTGCCAACTGAGCTACGTGGTCAGGTCAGTTCGAGTATGTGATATTTCGGAACTGAGTTTAGTTCCTTCAACATCAATGTAATCTACTATTCCAAAGGTCATATAGGTTCGATTCCCACCATGGCCGAGCATATTTTTCAAGCTTGCCCGGTGTGGATACACACTCGGAGTAACATCACAAACATCATATTCACCTGAGTACACAACACCAACACAAAAAATCATGATTTTTGGATTACATTGATGTCGAAGAAACTAAAGTCAGTTCCGAAATATCACCTACTCGAACCGACCTGACCGTGTAGCTCAGCTGGCAGAGCATTGGGCTAGTATTCCAAAGGTTGTAGGTTCAATTCCCACCGTGGCCAGGCATATTTTTCAAGCTTGTCCGGTGTGGATACGCACTCAGAATAACATCACAAACATCATAGTAAGGATCTAACGCTTAACTAAGTGTCCTATCATCTTATTTATTCCATACTTTTATTTGTTTACTATTTAATTTGCGTTTTATTGGAGACTTTGCAGAGCATATATTTACCATTTTACCAGTCATTGTGATATAGCAGGGGTGGGTAAAAGAATTAATTTCTGTCAAATATTTAAAAGCTGCTGATGTTAGCATGTACAGTGTAAATAAAGTAGAAAAGTTGTAACTTGTAATATCTCAAAATGTTGAAATATTTTCTGGAAAATTTTATGCAAAACTCTCAACTCAAAAAAATTTCTGGGAACTAGGTTCCCACAGGTTCCGATACTTTTTCCACCCCTGTTTTGTACGTCAGTAAGGCGAGGGTTTCTGCATCCATGTATTTTCTAGTTGTACGTTATTATGTGTACTATAAGCTTCAATTTAATGTAAAATTCAACCACAAACGCTTCACAAAACCTTTTAAAATGTTCTGGAAACTAAACTGCCTTTTATCAATATTAAAATTTTGCCTTGAAATAAAATAAAAACAACACATTAATATTTAAAACAAACTTACCTTCATTGGGTTTTACAATTTCCAGCATTCTATTAACCCATTCTTATAAACAAATAAATTGTTGTTCGGCTGCACGTCGCATTATTCATTAGTGATATTTCGGGTTTCAGAATAAAGTTTTTCAGTCTCTGGTAGCAAACGTCGCCGTCGGTGTCCTTGCCCTTCTTTTAGCAAGTCTTAATTTTCGGCTTTTTCCATGCACGTCGTCTTGCTGGTTTACGCCTGGTTCTTTCTTTAATATTTTATTTGTTTAATGTTTTTAATTTTCTCAAAATAATTCTGCAAAATAAATATTACAAATAGTGTCTGTTATTATGTTGTTGTGATGCAGTCATCATCAAGCGAAATTTAAATTTGACCAATCAGTATTCGCCATTTCCATGACAGTGTGCCATATTTTTAAGATCAGTGGGGAGGTCCACCCTTGGATCATAGCCATGCGGCCACAATATTTGATGAACTTTAGACTTTCCTAGTGTATTCCTTTCCCCGGGTGTAAATAGCCGAACAGAATTAGTACTCTCACCCCGGGCTTATGCCCGGAACGGCGCTCTGCCTGCCCATTGGCTCATAATACATGTAATCGGTTTCTCATGTATTTTTCATTATGCACACATATATTTTACCCAGGCTATATTAATGGCACTGGAAATCAAATACTTGGAATTGTGGAGAGTGTCATCCAAAGATCCCATTGCAGTGCTTGAAAAGGTCCTGGAAGGAGTGTATGACAGCTTTAATTCCAGATGAACAGGACTGGCGGACAAAGGGATTAGCAGCTGTTGTCCTGGCCAACACTTTGGTAAATAATGTTTACTTTATATGTCAATTATTTAGTATTTCCATTTTTTATTTTAAGAAACAATTTATGCCAATATTGCTTCACATCACTTAGAAGCGAAAAAACGAAGTCAAAGTGGGTTTCATGCGTTAACCATCCTATTGATTAATAAAAGCCCTACATAATTATATTACGCACTTAATTATGTTCACTTAAAATAATGTCATCTTAATTAGCATTACTGTCCTCTTTGAAGATGCAGTTAACTATTGGAGAGAAGGGCATGACGAAACATATGGTAAGATATATCCTTGAGCAAACAGTGCAGCAGCAAAGAGTCCCCGGTATCATGAGAGTACCCGGTATCATGGATGAATTGGAAAGAAACATCCAGTTGGATATTAATGACAATAAGAACAAATAAGTAGATGGTGTTTGAATTGTGAAAACCAAACACTACCACTGATAGTGTAGAAGCTTAGTCTTTAATTTATTTAGTTGTGGCTAGTGAAACTATTTAGGCCTAATACTAGTGTCATGTATCTCTGCAATTAATACAAATCTGGCAAAGGCTGACTTGCTAGAATAATTAAGACCCCCAATATCTAAAATCATGTCCATTTAATACACCTTAACCAGGTGTACAAACAAAATCAATCTTTAACATGCCGTCCTATCTTGAAGATTGATTTTGTTTGTAAATAAACACTGCATGTAGATAATTTTCTAAAAAAATGCTGTTATTAACTCTTGTAGGACCTTTGGGAATTGGCTTGCGAATTCTGTACTGTAAGTTATGCAAACGTCCAAGCATGCATAAAATTAATTTGAAATCATGCAAAGAAATCGCCTTTAAACTAACAAATTGGGAGAAAATCCAGGTTTTGAAGATTTGGGGGTTTTTAGTAACAGCTTTCCTACTCTAAAAACACTAGCATTTTAAATAATTTTAGTACTAGATGTAGCAGAGAACATTAAAGAACATAGGCTTACTAAATGCTTTCACAAATGTCGCGTGCATGTGACTTTAGTGATCTTTTTCCAACTGTGTAGTTTCTTTTTTATTTGATTTGATAATTTGTCACAAGAAACCATACATACATATATACATATATGTACATACAATACACACAAGTGACGAGATGCCCAAATAGAAACCAAGCAACTTATTAGTACTTTGGGCTCCTCTCAAATATTAACTTGATTTAAATAATAAGTAGATACACCGGTGAGGGTGGTATACGTACTATTATAGTAAAGCAATGATAAAGAAAATTAATTGAAAAGAACTAAATATACAGAGAGAGAAATATGCTGCCTATATATGACGTCAAATAGTATGTATACGTGCAAATAAGTATAACTTAAAATTTTTTTAAACAAAGAGAGAGTTGATGCTCCACGAATGTCTGAACTAAGAGCATTGTAAAATAATGGGCCTTGATAGTTAATAGAAAATTGGCGCAATCTAGTTCTACATTTAGGTACATAAAATTCTCCAGCCCTTCATGTGCTATATTCATGTATCTCGTTAATTCGCAGAAATATGTCATCAAAAGTTTGAGATAGTAATTTATTTGAATACTTAA